TGAACCTAAGACAATCGGAATGAACCTAAGCCAACTGGAATGAACCTAAGACAATTGGAATGAACCTAAGCCAATTGGAATGAACCTAAGACAATTGGAATGAACCTAAGCCAATTGGAATGAACCTAAGACAATTGGAATGAACCTAAGACAATCGGAAGGTGTCAAAAATGAAATGAGCGTCTGCCCATGTCTACAGAGATGGGTGTCCAATTGCAAAATCGAATTTAAAGAAAAATGAAATGGAATGCATAAAAATCAACAGCCTATGATATCATATGAGCTGAAGTGGACTGGTATTGGACATTTTGAATTGGACAATCATATATTTTACTATGCCAGGACAACAGCATAACATTCATCATCAAAAAGAATATTTCATCGCGACTGTCATACTTGTAAAGGTAGACGTTTTGTAACAAAAAAAAAGGGAGTGGTTGATCTTACAGTCCAGAAACGGAGGACCCCCTAGGACCATCAAGAAAGGAACGCACAAATAGGTTTTTCCCTTTTGGTTTTCTAACTGTAGGTCTTTGCAGTTCATTATCATACTTGGCTTTTTCCTTTCAAATGTTCTATTCAGTTCTTCACTTCCTCATTTCTTTCACTTGCTTTAGCTTCTCTACATTCAAGAGCAGGTTTCAAAGTCCCTTCTGACATCCATTTTGGTTCTTCTTTCTTTAGTCCTCTAAGTGACCTTTTGCTTTCTTCATGGATGATTTTTTTTTAAACTTTTTATTGTGAATTGAGTGAAAGTTTATATAGCAGATCATCAGTTTTACAATTAACAAATCATATACTTTGCTTCATTACATGATTGCAACCCTCTCCATGCACTAACAGTTAACAGCATTTACCTCTATTCACTTTAACTATTGCATTCCTCCCTGCGTCTCCCGCTACCTTCATCTTTCCTCTGTTAACCTCCCTCTTGTACATTGCCTGGTCTGTCACCTAGGTTACCATGTATCTACCCTGTAATCCATGAATAATTCCCTTCACCCTGTAACCATCATCTTTTATCAAGAACACCTTTTTTGTTTTTTTTAAACTTTTTGCAACATTGGTCTCATACAATCTTTGTCCTTTTGTGATGGACTAATTTCATTCACCATAATGTCCTCAAGGTTCAACCATGTTGTGAGGTGTTTCATAGATTCATCATTATTCTTCAACATTTTGTAGTAGTATACCAAAGTTTGTTGAACCATTCTTCTGTTGATGGATATTTAGGCTGTCTCTCATCTTTTTAATCTGTCTCTTATCTGACAACATATCAAAGGATTCTATTTTCTTATCTATTCTGTTCTTTATGTCTCTTAATTGGTACATTTAATCCATTTACTTTCAGTTTAATTATCAACAGCATCGGTTGATTATTGTCATTGTGTGTTTGTGGTGCTATTGGATTCTTTGTTCCATATAATTTTCTATGCTGAGTATATTTTGTTTGTGGGTTTTCTTTCCATTTTAATTTCTGTTGTGTTAATGTTTATTAAATCTTTCTGATTTCCCTCTTTTTTTATTTTGATATGTAGGTATTATTTTTCTGTTATTTACTTAAAATTTTTTTTTCCTGCTTAAAACAATCTGTTTTATCTTGAAATCTACTTGACTTCCTTGCCATTTGGAAGTTCTGTGTCTATGCTATTCCTTCCTTTTGCTTTGTAGTTGACTTCATTAGATATTGATATCTCTGGTTTCCTATTTTCAGTAGATTTGTTTTACTTTAAATACTTCTATATCTGGATTGAGTTCTGGGTGCTGTTGTCATGTGTGGTAATCTCAGGTTGTTGTTGGTTCTCAGTCCAAAGAACACTCTTTAGCATTTTTTGTAAAGTTGGTCTGGTCATTAAAAATTCCTTTAATATCTATTTATCAGGAAATGTCCTAATTTTGCTTTTGTATTTGAGAAACAAGTTTGCTGGGTATATGATTCTTGGCTGGCAATTTTTTCTTTCAGAGTTCTGTATATGTCATCCCATTCACTTATTGCCTGCATAATTTCTACTGAGAAATCAGAGCTTAGTCTTACTGGTTCTCCTTTGTAGGTAACTTTTGGTTTTTCTAGAGGTACTCTCAGGATTCATTCCTTGTCTTTGATTTTGGAAGTGTGACTATGATATGGCTTGCATATTTTCTTTTGGGATCTATCCTGTTTGGGGTTTGTTCAGCTTCTTGCATGCTTATCTTCTCATCTTTCTTAATGTTAGAGAAGTTTTCTTCCAACAACACTTCAACAATTTTCTCTGTGCTTGTCTCTTCCTTTTCTGGAATTCCCATCACCTGTAAGTTGGTGTTCCACATAACTCTTAGGGCCTCCCCCCTCCCCATTCTTTTTTCCTGATTGCTCTTTTAGCATACTAGTATTGAAGGATTCATCTTCAAGCTCATTAATTTGAACTTTCATTGCTTCACATCTACTCTTCTGCTCTTTCAAGGTATTGTCCATTTTTGAGATCTTAGTATTAATGTTTTGGATTTCTAATGGCAGGTTTTGTATTGTTTCAAATTTTGTAATAATTTGCCTGTTTGTTCTTGTAGTGTTTTTCTGAATTCTTCTAAAAGTTTTTATTGTGCTGTCTTTGCTTTCCTCGATCTTTCTAGGAACATAGATCCTTTGAAGGAAGCTAATTAACATTCTTTTGAATTCTTTTAAAATTAGTTCCATTACTTTTTATTCCTCAGAATTGTTTTCTGGCTCTGCATCTTGGTCATTTCTTTGAGCCTTTCTCTCTTGTTTCTTTGTGTGAGCTAAAATAGTCTGTTGTGAGATTGTTGTACTTGTAAAAACAGTGCAGTTGTTGGACCTAGAGGAGAGAAATCTCTGGTGGGCTTCTGCAAGTCAAGGAGCTCATGAAGCGGGTGTGGAAGGGATGCAATAGCAGAATTCCTGGCCCTAGACAAAGCTCCTAGTGGCCTCCATGCTATCTATGTTCAGGGAACTTAGTCCAGAAGTAGTTCTTGGGGGCCCTTGATGGAGCTGGTTTTAGTGTCTGTCATGACTACAGGGAAGCTATGGGGCAGGATGATTGGCTATATGCTAGTCTGGTGGTTCTTCAGGTTTTGTAGGTCTGGAGCACAGCCCACCTGAATCCAGGCACCAAACTGGCACACCAAAGAGGGGCAGCTGCTTCTCAACTCACACTGGCGTGGCTTCCAGCCACCCAGCACTGAACTAACAAAGAGCAGGGCCTATGCTGGGAGTGGATAAGGGTGGGAGCTGGCCATACCTCTGGTCACAAGGGTAGCATGGGGAAAAAGAAGAAATTGCACCTTTCTCATCACCCACACCGAATCTCTTCCTTCCGGCACCAAAGCTGCTCACAAGATGGTGGAGCACTGTCTGGTCAGACATTCACCAGTCAGTCCCCCTCTCTCACTGTCCTTGCTTGGCCTCTCCTCCCAGCAAGCACTCCATCAACCTCTTTAACCTTCTGAAGTTCAGGGTTCCAGAATTTTCATCTGTGTCTTTTTAATTTGGTCTCTCGTACTTTGTTGTAGAGTGTCCATGTAGTGCTTCTGCCTAGTCCGCCATCTTGCCAGGAATCTCATGGATGATGATATTGATGTCATCCCATAACTACTCTTCTGGTCTTTGGTCATTAGTGTTCAATGTGTAAAATCTATTCTTGAGATGGTCTCTAAATTCAGATGGGATACAGTCAAGGTCATAGATTGGCTTTCAAGGACTTGTTTTTAATTTTCTTCAGCCTCAGCCTGAACTTGCATATGAGCAATTGATGGTCTATTCCACAGTTGGACCTTGGCTTGTTTTGACTGATGATATTGTGTTTCTCTATTGTCTCTTCCCACAGATAAAATCAATATGATTCCTATGTATTCCATCTGGTGAGGTCCATGTGCCTTTTATACTGTTGGAGGGGGGAAAGGTATTTGTAATGAGTAAGTCACTGGTCTTGCAAAATCCTATCATTTCATCATCACTGGCTTTAGTGGTTGGTGCACACATTTGAATAATAGTGGTATTACCGTTGGTGTTAAGTGCTGAGTCATTTCCAACCCATGTTGTTGTTGTTAAGTGCCATCGAGTCGGTTCCGACCCATAGTGACCCTGTACAGGGTTCCCGAGGGTGTAAATCTTTACGGGAGTAGAAAGCCTCATCTTTCTCCCACAGAGCAGCTGGTAGTTTCAAACTACTGATTTTGCAGTTAGCAGCCCAATTCGTAACCACTACACTACCAGAGCTCCTACAACTGAGGGATGAGAGCCAGGCAATAGGGTTGAGGGGAGAGGGAAGATGGGAGAGAACTGAGAGACAGCCTGAGACCCTTGCTCTCTAGATGCTCCCAAAGGTGTCAGGGTCCTGAAGGTCAGCCCCAGTACTGAGATTCACTCTGGGCACCGGGTCCTCCTTCGATGTAACGTCTTAAGCAGCCGCCCTGAAGATGTCCACTTCTCCTGGAAGAAAAATGGAAACCTTCTGCAGGAAGGAAGAGAACTGAAGTTTGACTCCATCTCCCCTGAAGATGCTGGGAATTACAGCTGCTTAGTTAATAACTCCATAGGACAGACCACATCTGAGGCCTGGATGCTCCAAGTGCTGTGTGAGTCACCAGAGGTGGAGGCTGTAAACAGAGATGAGTGAGTGGGTGCCAGGTCACCTGGGTCCTGACTTTGCTTCCCCATACAGATGCACCGAGGAGACTGCGGGTGTCCATCACCCCAAAAGACAGAGTGATGGAGGGGAAGAAGGTAGCCCTAACGTGTGAGAGTGATGCCAACCCGCCTGCTTCTCACTACACCTGGTTTGATTGGAACAACCAAAACCTCCACCATGCTAGTCAGACGCTGAGATTGGAACCTGTAAAGATTCAGCACTCAGGCGACTATCGGTGCCAGGGGGCCAACCGGCTGGGTGTGGGCGAGTCAGCCCCCAGCACCCTCACTGTCTACTGTAAGACTTCTTACCATTTCTGCTCATGGTCTTCTCTGGCACTGCTGATTCCATGGTTTCCTCATCTTCCCTTTTCTCTGCCCCCCACATATGCCTCCCAGACCACCTTACCCTTGCTCCCCCTTCTCCTGTCCTCCCTTCCGTTTCCCACAGGCCCAGCTCCAACTGTCTTCTCAAAGGCACACTCCTGGACAGAGCCCTACCTCTTGGATGAAGGATTATTATCCTGTCTTTGTTTTCAGTTTCCCTCTTTGCCTCCCTCCTTCTTCCTGAATCACCTTCTTCCAAGAGGGTTCCCTCTCAAGCTGTCCCTAACCTTCCAGACATCCTGAGCTCCTACGGGGGTCATTCTTTCTGATTCTCCCTCTGTCTCATCTTTGATATGTGGCTTGATTTTATCCTTTACAATTTTAGTGGTTTTTAAAAAGATGATATAAGAATATGGTAAAATAATAATAATAAAACAGTATAAAAAAGGTAAGATCAAACCAAAACTCACCATCATTGAGTGGGTTCCAATTCAAAGAGAGTTTCTGAGACTGTAAATCTTGACGGGAGCCGGCAGGGCTCATCTTTCTCTTACAGAGAAGCTGATGGGTTTGAACTGCCGACCTTTTGGTTAGCAATTCAGTGCTTATCCTACAGTGCCACCAGAGCTCCTTAATGAAAGACAGTTACCTCTTTGTATTGGTCCCTGAGAAGTGCATTTCCCTCCCAAGAAATATCCACATTAGCAGCTTGTTGTATCTCTTTACAGACACAGCTAGACATGCACCACCTCTACACTGTGTTCATCCAACCTTCTTTTGTTTCACAAATGGTAGGACAGCTCACATAGTCCTGGACTTCTCTCTCTCTCTTTTTTACGAAATAATGCCACTTGGAGATCGTTCTGTGTCTGTGCATTTAGAGCATGTCTAAAGAGCCTGGAAACATCGAGGAATGATATCTAATTTATTTATATGCATTGTACTTTTACAGATTAATAATTGGAGTCACGACTGTGTGTTTAGCGGATGGTCACCTGAAAAGCTGGCAATGAAAGGAAAGCATCCTGAGGGCGTTATCTGTTACTAGTATAAGTGTCAAAACTCATACCCTCTGTGTCTCAGACTTTTCAGACACCCTGGAGACATGGCTCTTTTTGTAGTGGCTACAATGTATTCTGTGTCAGACAGTGTATCTACCCAGTGCCCTCTCCAAGACTGTTGGCAGTCTTGTCCTTTGGGCACACCTGCAAAATAGCAGAAGGATAAATTACATGGAACAGCTGGATTGAAGGACAGGTGTACTGGTGCATTTTAAGTTCCAATAGTATTGTCCATTGCCAAGCATCACTTTTATCCACGGAGCAGGGGAGCATGCTCTGTGTGTCTGTTGCAAAGTAGCAATGCCTCATGAGGAAGGACTGGCCCTTTCCTCCCAAGGGGAGCTCCAGGTCTCCCTGATTTTCTGTACCACTTCCCTAGTACATGCAGCAGAAGTGTAGGCAAGAAGGACAACAGATGGTAGCAGAGAGAAATTGAGTATGCCTTCTAGGCAAACCCTTGTGGGCAGAGCTGGCTCATATTTCATTGACTGACAGAACCTCCTTCCTCCACCAGATAGCCCAGAGACCATAGGCAAGAGAGCAGCTGTGGGTATCGGGGTCTGCCTGCTCATCCTCATCCTGACAATCTGGGGGGTCAAGCTTCACAGAGGGTGAGATCTTCCTTCTCTCTCCCTTGACTGATTCCTGTCTCCCATTACTCAGCCTGAAAGCCCCCAGCAGGGTCCAGTTCCCATTTCTTGGACCCTCAATGGGTGTCTCTTTATCTTTATAGCTGGAAAAAGATTCGAAGCCAGCAGGAACTTCAGGAAAATTCCAGTGGGCAGAGTTTCTTTGTAAGAAATAAGAAGGTAGGACAAAAGATAAATGAAATCCAGGGCAGAATCCTTGAAATCAAACAAAGAACCTAGATGAAGAGTGCTGGGGGGGTAGAGGGTGGGGATGCGTAATCCAGGGCATCAGAGACCAGGGGAAGGGAATTCCAGATGGGGAAAGAAATGCTTAGAGCTGAAACCTTGTCTCTGTCCCAGGTTAGAAGAGGCCACCTCTCGGAAGGGTCCCAGTCCCTGGGATGTTATAATCCAGTGATGGAAGATAGTATTAGTTATGCCGCTTTGCGTTTTCCTGTTGGCGAAACGGACATGCCAGGCACTGGGTACTGAGGGTACTGGGAGGGTGAAGCCTGCACTCTAGGTCTGGGAGGAAAAGCTTATGTTTCTCCTGCACTCTTTGTGCTAGGCATTGCCGTATCTCCGGTACCTCATTCCACCCCCTCAACACCTCTCTTGGCAAATGATGTTCTCCCAAATTGTATCTGTTTCTTCAAGCCAGGTGTCTGTATTCCTAAAGTCAGTCTTCATCATGCTGGTCAAGACTCTATGATGCATGCATACATTAATTCATTCAGTGCATATTTATTAGGTACTTGGGATACAACACATTGGTTTTAGATGCAGAGGCCTATCGTGGCATTGCTGGGGCATTAAGGGAGTGGGAGGAAGGAGAGTTCATAGGAAATGTTTCCTTTGTGGTCATCTGTTTGTTCTCTCTCTCTCTTAGTGATGAGGGGACTTCAGCCAGTAACTCAAGTAAGGAGGACATGGTCACATATTCTGTGGTGCAGAAGCGCCGACTGGTAAGAAGGCAGGGCTGCAGGGGCCGGTGGTGGTGGTGAGGAGCTGGAGAGTTTGAGTCTGGCCTCCACATTGAGGCCCATATGGGAAGAACTTGGGTGGACTTCCAGTAGTGGCAAGGGCTGGATATTGGGAAGGGTTGTTCAGGTGTGGTCAGATGCTCCAAGTCTCACCACATCCGTGCCTGATCCCACTTTCTGCCCCTGGGGTAAAGCCCAGGAGAAGAGGACAGAAATGAGGCAGAAAAAAGATGCTGATGACAGATGCTGAACAAGAAGATGCCTGCTTGGGCTCTTGGACCCTCTGTTGAAATTAAGCAGAGAATGAATAGGCAGGAAGAACAGATGGTGGGAGGCCACCGGCAAATGGAGGCCCAGGCCATACTTACAATGATGTGGTTTTCTCAGGGTGACTATGAAAACGTGGCTCCAGCTCTTCCAGAAGATGAAGAGATACATTATTCGGAGCTGGTTCATTTTGGGACTGGGGAGCGACCTGCAGAGCAGGAAAAAGTGGACTATGTGACTCTCAAGCCCTGAACTGGTTATGATGGAGGTCCTCAGGGACTGCAGGGGACAGGGTTGTCCTGAAGCTTTTCTGGGCCTCTTCTGTTCAGCCACTAAGTTACACAGTCCCCGTCCTACACACACACACTTGTTGCCACCCCAGGTCAGTGTGAAGAAACTTGGGCCTGGCTCAGAGCCCGTCTCCCTTTAAAGTTCCTATTCAAATAACTCTGACCCTTCAAAGGCCTTGTTCTCTGGTTCTTTTCTGCTTTTCTTCCCTGTACTATAGGACTTCCCCTACACTTTCCCAGCCAGCTGTACCATGAGCACCCTAAACCCCATCTCTAGTATTACGGTTTCTTTTCCTCTTCCTCATCACTTTTACTTCCCCTACCCCTGCTCTGACATTCCCATTCACGAGTCATTACCTTGATTTTGCCTAGAGGGTAAAGTCCAGGAGAAGAGGGAGAGAAATAAAACCATTTATTACCTTTTATTTGCATCTCTTGAAGAAAGAGGACTTGTCCCTCACTGGTTTGCCCTCTATAATCATGTTCCATGTTAGTGAGGCACTTCATGGAGAGGGTTGCAGTACTGTAGCCCCTACCTCCAGGAGTCTGGTGGTCTGAGACAGACATAATGCTGTGGACAGATATATAATAAACACTGGTTGTACAATAAAAAATGGCTCAGATACCATTCCAAAGAGTCTGTGAATTATTTCCAGTCTGTGGAGGTCAAGGTGTCTGGGAACAGAGAGATGGAAAAGGTACTGTAAAGACTGGTGATAAGCGAAAGGAGTTGTGGTAATTTTGTGAGCAAATAAGCCAATTGAAAAGTCCATTGTTTTGTTGCAAAAAATACACTGACGTTTGTGGGAAGACACACACAAGTTTGAATCTCGACTCTTCTAATGAACTGGCCAAGTGATCTTGGGCCAAGTTCATCAACTTATCTGAGTCCCAGTTTCGTTATCTGTAAAATGGAGATACTCTTTTGCAGCTTGCTCAAGATAGGAAGAGAGGTGTAACCTTTAGATGCTAGAGGCACAGTATAAGAAGGCTAGCAAAGCAGCCCAAAGTCCCCAATAAAACCATTTCCTGCCTTTTATTTGCATCTCTTGAAGGATGCATCTCTTTTATTTGCATCTCTTGAAGATGGTAAGATGGGAAGACAAATCATTACTCACAACCCTTCTCAGAAGTCACCCCTATTAAGGCCTTTCGCAATCCACAGCTGCTTAAGAACTTTTCTGAAACCCATTTGAAGATCAACTTTTTGAGGAACCTGAGATTTTTCTGCCTTTCCCCACCATCCTCACCAGTTCTCTGTCATGTTTACAGATGTAGACTTTGCAAATGAGTCTTTTTGCCTCTGATCTCTCTCCATCCATTTTCCTGCTTCTGCCCATGAGTTAAGATCCATTCACCTTGGAATGCAGAAAATATGTTTAATAAATCAAGGTAGTGAATGTAAAATTCCTGGGCCAACGTCATTACTCCATAAGTAGCCCCGTTCTCTCCTCCCTTCTTCCCTGCCTGAGCTAGGAGAGGAAGAAACTCTGGACATTTTTAGAATTATGCCAGAGTTAGGCATTGATTTCTCCAGCAGTCTAGTTGTCCCCAGTTGGATTTCTCGTGGGCATCATTACTTTTTCTATGACCTAGAAATATTTCTGGAGGAAGGGGAGGCATCAGTAAGTGTCTAAATGAGAGGAGAGGGTATACACCAATGTTTACTGCAGAATTATTGACAATAGCCAAAAGGTGGAAACAACCCAAGTGCCCATCAACCAATGAATAAATAAACAAAATGGAATGTGTTTCTGCCATAAAAACAATGAAGTTCTAATATCTGTTATGACATGGATGAACCTGGGAACATTATACTGAGTAAAACAAAAGGACAAATATTATATGATCCCATTTATATGAAATATAATATATGAAATTTGCCTAGGGTAGGCAAATGCATAGAGACAGAAAGTATATAATTGGCTATAAGAACCTTCAGGGAAGTGGAATGAGGAATTGTTGTTTAGCACGTTGTTGTTGTTGTTGTTATGTTCCAACCCATAGCGACCATGTATAGGGTTACTGAAGCGCAACTGGTAACCTTGAACCACCGACCTTGCATTCCAAACCGACTTTGCAGTCCTGCGCATTAACGCACAGTGCCAAGTTTGAATTTGGAGTGGTTAGGACATTTTGAAAACAAATGGTGATGAGTGCATGACACTTACTAGTGTGATTAATACTGTGGGCTGTACACTTGAAGATGTACAATGGTTAAAATACCAAACTTTGTGTGATACATAGCTTGCTGTTAAGGGCCGTTGAGTGAGTTCTGACCCATAGCGACCCTGTATAGGGTTTCTGAGGAGCAGCTGGTGAGTTTGAAGCACCAACCTTGCAGTTCAAACCAGCATTGCAGTTCAGTGCATTAATCCACAGGGCCACACCAGGACCCCATACATAGTTTAATACAATAAAAAAAAAAAAAAAGAGGAAAAAAAATGAGAGAGGAAGGATTTTCGAGTTCATGTACCCAAAATGAGGTTCAGGGTCATTCACTCACTCAGCAAACATTGACTGAGCATCTGCCACGGAACCATGTGCTGGGGTACAAGAACAATCACACAGAGCTTCGTTCTTGTATCAGAGTCTCCAAAGTACTTTCTGTATCTAGGGTTTCCTCAAGGGAGCAGCAGGCAGCCCCTGGTCTGATGAGGTCTGGAATAGGTTCCTTGGCAACAAACAGGTGTCTTTCCATCCTGTCCCTGGGCCCAGCTGCCAGTATAAACCTGCTTCATGACCAATTGACAGGAGATATGGCTGTCAACTGGCCCTGATGAGGCATGCAGAACAGATGGTCAAGTACTCTGAGGCCAGGAACTTGAGAACACGGGCAGAACATTCCCAGAGCTCAACTGGCCATCCATTCAATATTGCTTATTAAACAAACAATTTCATTTTCAATAGCATCTAAGAGGAAAAAAAAATCCCTAGGATTACATTTGTTATACAATGAGAATTTTAAGACACTGCTAAAAGAGATTTTTAAAAGACTTAGATGGAGAGACATTCTGTGTTTGGATTGAAAGACTTAAGACTGCTAAAATGTCAGTAGTACCAAAGTGATCTATAGATTCAACAGAATCCTGATGAAAATCCAACTCTCAGGTTCAGATGGAATGGCAAGAGATCCTGAACAGTTAAAGTAATTCTGAAAGAGAAGAATAAAATAGGACTCACACTTCTTATTTTAAAACATATTATGTAGCTACATAAATCAAAACAGGCTGGTACTAGCCTTATAGACACAGAGACCAGTGGAATAACATTGATAATCCATAAGCAAACCCACATGCTTATGACAATAATCAATATTTGATAAGGCTTCTAATGTTGCTGAGTGCTGTTGAGTCAGTTTCAACTTATATTGATCTTATATAGGATCATTATGGATCCTATATAGGATCACCTAGGATCTCCAAGGATTGGCTGGTGAATTTGAACCACTGATCTTGTAGTCAGCAGTTGGGTGCTTATTTTACAGCACGCTAAATCCATTCAGTGGGTAAAGAAGTATCTCTTCAATGGATAATATTAGGAAAATTAGATTTTTGTATACAGAAACCACCACTCGTCTGTCAGTTTGTTGTACTTTGATGACTTGCATGTCACTGTGATGCTGGACGCCATGTTACCAGAATTTTAAACACCAGTACAAGTCACCCATGGTGGACAGGTTTCAGTGGAGTTTCCAGACTAAGACAGACTAGGAGAAAGGAGAGGTGGTCTACTTCTGAATGTTTAGCCACTTAAAACTTTATGAATAACAGCTGGGCATAGTCAGATACAGTGCTGGAAGATGAAAACATTATGAATAGCACCAGAATATTGTCAGATATCTATACTGCTGAAAGATGAGCTGTTCAGGTTGGAAGGCACACAAAGTATGACTGGGGAAGAGCTGCCTCCTCAAAGTAGAGTTGGCCATGATGATTCAAACGGAGTAAAGCTTTAAGGAGCTTTATTTGCTGAAGGAGACAACTCAAAAGAAGGAGAAAGAGCTGCAGACATCCATCAATAATAGGATATGGAATGAACCTAAGCCAATTGGAATGAACCTAAGCCAATTGGAATGAACCTAAGACAATCGGAATGAACCTAAGCCAACTGGAATGAACCTAAGACAAT